AAAAAAAAAAAAAAAAAAAAAAAAAGGAAAAAAAAAAAAGTCCACCAGCTAATATTTGTACAAACCATGATCTGATAATTCATCATCATCAAGCCATTAAACAGTGTCTACCTGCTCTTCTCCTCCCCACTTTTTACAGCCTTAAAACAAAACTCAAATACTAAACTTTCTTATCTCTTTCTCTTTAGGGGCAGAGCCATCAGCTTTGTTCATCTGTCCCTCGATCTCTTCATCTACCTCTTCACTTTCTCTATACTCTCTCAGATTATAAAATGTACAGCCAACAGTTCCTTCTTTTTTTGTTTCTTTTTTATTTTTTTTTATTTTTTGTACTTTTTTTTCTTATTTCAAGTCAGCTTCTATCTGAATCATCATTATAAATACAGCAGCTATTACTTACTAGACAGATATTAAACGGAAGCGGAAAGAGACACCGCGCTTTGTGCTATCCTCGGCTAGCTGTACAACTTTCTTCCCTGTTTCCCTAACCAACCATCTGCGCTGGCTTCGGAGTCAAAATGCTTATCCTCCTCTCTGTCATACAGTTTAAGTTCATTTTAGATACCTCGACGTTGAAAATGGTATAGTATCAATCAAGATTCATCTGTATCGAAAAACAAACAAACTCGGGCCCTGTGTTTTTATCATCCAGGACTACTCTAGCTCTACTAGCTATCCTCTTTTATTCTCATTTGTGATTCTAAGGAACATCATTGTGCAGCAAAGTTTTGAATAGATAGAAGCTCTAAGGGATAGTAAACAAAAACGAAATGGCAAAATAATTGTTCAATGGAGAGATCATACCTCCAGCAGCGACGAGTTTCTCCACACGAGCGACTATGTGCTTACCATAGGTGTACTTCTTGAGAGCATTTAGATGAACTTTTATCCTATTAAGAATTAGTTCAAGTTGCTGGTCATCACAAGTTTCCAGCACTTTCTGTACAACGTAGTTTGCAAACTGATCTTTCATCATAACCTGGATTCAACAACAGAGTAAAGAAAGTTATGATATTTATCAGGTTTTCCTTTATTCTGATAAGAAAATACTCCATACAACCATTCGAAACGTAGGCGAAGAAAATGAAGACACATTTGTATGAATCATATCCATGGGAACAACAAGTTCCATTGAAAGAAGTTTCTAAAGTTGAAAATTCCCACTTTCTAGGAAGGATTGGAATCTATGGGACAACAACTACAGAACCAAAGACAATAAAATTTCATGCTCTGAACAAAATCATGCAGTAGAGATCTTTTCCTATTATTAGCTTTCATTTTTTGGTGGGAAAACTTCTTAATCCAATTATTGAGGGAAAAAAATGCAGGTGGGATGTGGACAAACACCTGAAGGGGCTCATTTTCATCGGTGGTACCGAGCATCTCATTCACCAAGGCCTGGCGTTCAGAAGAACTTCCAAAAGTTAGACATTTCTCGATGACATTGGAGGCGAACTTCTGTTGACTCATTTGAACTATCTGCCCAGTTAGTTTCTTTATGATAGCAGAACGTTCGTGTGGCTTCCCATGTTCCAATACATGCTGTAAGAGCAATGTTAAATTAGTACATTAACGTGCTTCAGCAACAAAAGCTTATTAGAAAGAGTGCCTCGAGCAGCGACAAACCTGCACAACATAATTTCCATACTGATCTTGAGCCAAAGTGCAGACAGACTGCAAAATTTCATCCATCATTATATGCTGCGTTTTCAGGCTATGGCAGTGCTCAAGGACTCGCTGAGAGAAAATTGTTATATGATTTTATCATTCCAACCAATAAATGTAATCACTATATAGTAAGCTTCATATAATAACACAAATTTCATCCATCATTACACGCTGCGGCGTTTTCCTTTACCTGTATAACACGACAACCATAAGGATGAGTGGACAGTGTAACCACTTGATCATAAAATGTCGAAACAATGAACTGAATCGCGTCCTCAGGAATGCACTCAATGCACTTCTGTACAACATGGTTCCCGTTTTGGTCACGTACACAACGCATGATATGACCATCTAATTCTTTAACCATGTTAGTTTGCTGGTCGACGTCAACCATTTCAATTGCCTGAAATGATGTTTCAGAGACCATGAAGTTTCAGTCACAGTGAAAAGAAAACAGGCAGTGATTCGTCAAAGACGGAAAGGGAATTTAATATCAAAGGAATATGGAGATTTTACGAAAGGAAAACACACAGGCAACACCGACCTTCTGAATCACTCGGCAGCCGTACATTTGAAGACTGAGAGCTAGGACATGTCCGTTGAGTTGATCAGCTAGTTCCCTTATTTGAGATGCAGTTCCATGCTCAAAAAACTGAATTCCAAAAGACGTTAACAAACTCGATGCTCGTAATTAAATCCAAAACAAATTATTAGTATGATCTCGTTTACTTATAGAAAAGCAGTCCAAACAGATGTTAAATGTAAAGCAATACCTTCTGAACAACATAATTACCAAAAACATCGGTCATTAAGGAAAGAGCTTGTGGCATAATTTCATGGAAAACCATGTCTTTCTCTTCAAAAGAGGCATTTTCGAGTTTCTGCTGAATGAAACGACTTCCGTACTGATCAGAGCTGTTAAGAAGGAAGAAACATTTACATTCAGGGAAGGATGCATTTAGTAACAGCATAGAAGTATAAGTCGTCCAACGGAAAATACCTGAACTCGAAAACATGGCCAGCGATTTCTGAAAGTTCAAAACATTTGCTTTTATTGCTTTTGAACTCATCCAGCAAAGAAGACACAAAACTTCCATTCATATTGCCACCAGCTTCAGAATGCCAACCTCCAATGCCACCTCCAGTAAAATTTCTCATTCCCGACGAGAAGCGCACGGGCTTACTGATGTGGTTGATGCCATTACCCGACCCAGCAGGAGAGCCAGGAAGAAGGGATCCAGCTAATGGACTTCCAGGATACGACATTCCGAGACCATAGCCTGGATTGCCATAGTAATTATGATTTAGACTACCAGATTTACCAAAGTAGGGTAGAACAAATTGTGAGTTTTGAGGTGAAAGCAATGCTCCCAGGTAGGCTTTCTGGACTCCCAATAAATCCATATATCCATTACCCATCAAACTTTCGCCATCCAACGGAGGGTCATTAACGCCGTTCACCTGTGCAGCAGCGTATTCATTTGACCCCAAATATTGAATGTAAGACGGGTCCAATGCAGGTAACTGCATAGCGCTCATCGCACTATGATTTTCCGACCTGTTGTTATTTTGAAATTCGCCTGATGTTTCCAACATGCTTGATCCTAAAGCTAATCCATTGAAGGTTCTATTATTCATGCCATTCATTCCCATTGCTGATGCAGCAGCAGCATTCTCATACAGAGGTGGTAAATTACCACTGCCGAGATGAGTCCCAACGATGGACGAAACTGGAGGATTAGAAGTATAGCCACTGAATCCATAATTCAAGAACGAAGAATTCGCATTTTCAAGATTCTGATTGCGAGATGGTGAACCTCGTGCATTATTAAGCGTTTGTTTATATGGCCCCTTCATATATGAAGTAGGGGAAGAAACAGCTTGTTTGTTGAATTCTGCTTGATCCACACCTGTTGCAAGAGAATTAATTTGATGAGATCCTCTAGCTGAATGAGAAGATGAATGCAGATGAAACTTCCCAGAATCTGAGTTCTTTAAACTAAGGAACATTTTCATATCATTTTGATCACTTTGCAGATTGAAAAAGTTATGACGATCATCGATCTCCTGCTGAATATCCGACCGCAAGTGGCACTCATCATCTAGAATACCATTTGTTGACAAATTCATGCCAGAAAACGAAGACACCAGGTCTGCAGAATCACTCGACTGCAGCAAAACCCCATTGAAAGAATTTGGACCACAAGCACTTCTTTTATCCACAGTGCTAGATACCCTCCCACCAACTTGAGGAATACGAGGACTCGGAGCTCTCGCTATGATTTGAGGGTCGGGAGTCGTAGTTCTCGACAAAGAGGCTCCTACAGCTGATGCATATGTATGAGGGGTAGAGGCACCAGCTCCTTGGACTGCCGATATCCCCTGTTTGTTCCCACCAATTGTTGCCATATCTTGATGTAAGTAAGCAAATTGGCTTTCTGAAGCTTCCAGAGTTTCGTCAAATGCATTGCGGCTAGTCGGACGAGAAGGATGTCGGGAGATAGTTATTCCGTTGCTTAAATCATCCTGTCATGGGGAAAAACAAGGCAACCTATGTAACAGTAACTCAACAGAAGAAAATTCTTATTAAAAGAAAAAAAAAGAACATCTTTTAAGAACATTCATGTGTTTCTTCCTTACAGGTTAGAAAAATACATCTTTTAGTAACAGTAATCGTAAGAATGAAACTTAATCCAAAAAGAATTAATGTTTGGATCTTCAGAGTTGTGGCACAGAGAAAAAAAAGTCAAAACTTTATCAAGTTAAAGGATTGTATGAAGAAAACAATACACAAACAAAACCAGAGCCTCATATTAAACTACCAGAAGCATCATCACCTGAAGGATCTCTGCAATGCTTTTCTTCCTACTGCCGACTCCCAACCCCGGCAGCCCAATAAGGCCATCGCCGGCCCAATCGCCAGCGACCCGCCTTGATTCGATACCGGAATCCTCGTTGGCTCCAACTCCAGCCTGCAACATGAAAAGTGATCCATTCCCATTTGCCCCTTCATCACCGCCTCTACAACCTTCCCTCCTATCTCCAATTCCCCCCAACCCCACGGCGCCTCCGCCGTGCAACCGCTGTGCAAACCGCCAATCCTCCTTAGAGAGAAGCGGTGGCGGAAGGCGAGGGTTCAGATTCACATTGGAATAATAATAGTTAACATAAGTGGGATCAGAACGAAGCTCTTCATCAGAAATGAAACCTTTTCCGGCAGTTTTGTTGAATCCCAATAAGTCGGAAGCATTAAACATACCTCCAACGGCGGTTAAAGAGCCGTCGACGGTCGGCGGCGCAGAGCCACTCCGACAAAGGCTGAGTTCCTTCTCTCTGTCATTCACAGCTTCGTGCTGTTGCCTCTGTTGCCGTATCAACATCCCCAAATCCTCACCATAATCGCCACTTTTCAGCGCCGATCGCAGTGAAATATCAGTCCCAAATTTCGAATAAGCATCGGTAACCATAACTACCCCCAAAATCAAAAAAATGATAATGAAAAAACAAAAAAAAAAAAAAAAAAAAGAACTGCGTAAAAAAGCTCCCAACTTTGAGCTAAAAACCAGCTCAAAATCGAAACAATACAAGTGGGTTTTCGTTTAAAGGTCTGAAACAACCAATTTCCAGCCCAAAAAATTACAACCCCATAATATGAAAACAAGAATCCAAACGGAGAGGCAGAAAAAACTGGGAAAAAAAACGAAATAGCTCTGTTCGTCAAAACTTGGGGTTTCCTTTAGTTATTGATTAGTGTTTAGATTATGAGCACCAGATTGTGTGTAAAACGAAAAGATGATGAAAGAAGAAGGGCTTAGCCATTTTTTTTTGCTCTCTTTTCTCAGAGAAGAAGAATGCAAAGAGAAAGGAGACAGTAGAGTAAGGAAGGGGTATGATAAGCACGAGTGGTGGAAAGATCTAGGCCGTTGAAGAGACAAATGGAGGGTGAGGATGGATTCTAGTAGATATGTTCTTACCAGATATACTTTTTTTTAGGGTTTTATTTGAGCGATTAATATAAAATATTTTACCAGTTTTGGAATTCTTCTTTTTTTTAGGGAAAAGAAAATGGAAATTTTGGAAATAAATGATACGAATTAGATGGAAGGAGAGAAAATTGCCGAATATGTCTAATTTGTTAGAATTTCTTGGAATTTGTTTATATTTATTACATTTGAGAAAATAGGATTTTTTCCATTTTCTAAATTTGGAATTTATTTTTTTTTGTTTAAAAAATCTTTAAAATATCATAATCTAAATTTCTATAAATTGATCAAATTTTTACTTCCTTTTTTTTTAATTCAATACTATGAAATAATAAAATTAAAAAAAATTAAAAAGAACCACAAGGAACAAAAAAAATGTATTTCAAACAAATAAACGCTTTTAAAAAAAGAATAATCATATGAGTTTTACTTGTTTTTTTTTAAATCAAGATTTATGAAATGAAAAATATCTATAGACGGGATTTTTTTAGGAAAAAGAATTTTTTTTTTAATTAAAAAATAAAATCCCACGTCAGCACGAGAACAAAAGCAGATCCGAGTTTGAGGGGGCATCCACTGTAATAGCGCCAAGTGTTACGTTAAAGGGGAGTAATCCAGTGCGGAGGGAACCAAAGTTTTTTTTAAACTGAAAAAATGGAAGTGGGCCCCATGTTCACGCTTTTTGGACCGCTAACAGAAGGGCAGTGAAGTAAAAACTGAAAATATTTTTCTTACAATTTGTTTTATTCAAATTCTAGAATTGTTTTGTTTTAATTTCTAATTCTATAAAATTTTAAAATATTTATGTTTTATTTTAAAATGTTCAAATATTTTTTAAAAATAAAACTAATTGTTTTGATTTTCAATATTACTTTATATTAATTGTCTCACTAAAATGTATCAAAGTTACCTAAATTGAAGCGAAGAATTTGGTAAAACTGAATATTAAGGAATTGTATTTAAATAATGAACAAAATGAATGATTTTAATTCATGAATTAAAATCAATGTTTTTAAATGATTGAAAATTAAATTTCAAAAAATATAATATTGATTATATTTACTTTTTAACTTTTTTTTTTTTTTTTTTTTTTTAAAAAATATCAATTT